AATAAATTGTGACCGAAACGTTATCCAGTAAATGATACTGTTTCACTGTGTGATATTTTTAATAAACAGACTAAAATGGAATTACACTCGACCACAGTGCCCAAGTTTTACTCCTATATTAATATAGAAATGAGTAATCTAGGATGTTTCTTTTTCACCTTCAACATCAATTCCATTATTTCTGACTATCACTATTTACATTATCTTTTACTTCTTTTTTCTTACCTTCTTCTTGAAAATTACACAACATTAAGACTGAAGCAAGTAAACATACATACATATGCATGGTAATACACATACAGAGAGAGGTAAGAAGAGAAACAGGCATAACGGATTACTGATATGCCTTCTACATTGTACTTGTCTTTTCATTTTGGTTATTCTTTTAAGCGTAATACAGAATTATAGATATATAATGAAAGGGGATTATAGTCAAGGGAGGTGGAAATTAGGTGGAGAAACAAAAATATTAAAAGTTACCCTTATGCCTTACTTCCGATATTTGTTTTTTTCAACTCCTACTTCTTTGCATACGGTTGATTGCATAAACATGCGTTGTATAAGTTTTCCTCTGTCTTCCTGCTTATCTCTCTCTCTCTCTCTCTTTCTTTCTTTAAGACTTATCCTACCTTCTATAGAATGTATACCTTTTTGATGGCAACTTATAAGAGTAATAAAGTTGTTTGCTGGTATGCGCCTAATTCTTTCTCATTAAATCTATTACAAATATAAGTGTATATCAATTAAGTAGATGAGTATAGTCTCACTTGCCTTCCATTAGCATTCAGTAATAATACACATCAATCCGATTAATACTCAACATGATAATCATAAAAATAAATCGGAATTATACTTAATTATTTCGGCAAAAGAATAATTATCATAGAATAATAATAATTTAGATAAAATGGATTTTATTTATTATTTTATTGAAACAATATTGACAATAGATTCTATTTTCATTCATATCCATCAAGTAGATTAGTTTTATATAGGGTGATGATTGAAGGTGAAATGAAAATTTGAACCGCAGACGGATTCGAACCAGTGACAATCGGGTTTCCGGTTCAATGCTCTACCAGTTGAGCTAAGAGATTCGACTACTGATCAAATTTTCATTTCACTTCAATCACTAAGGGTTTTGTTCGCCTATCATATGAATTCGTGACACGCTACTACCATTTGGTCGTAGTCATACTAGCTGGTCAGTTCAGTCAAGACTTCTTATCCTAATCCAAATCTAACTGAATCAGACAGGGTGAGGATCATATTGATTATCATTTTGGCTATCTGAGATAATTGTAGTTTGGGAGACTAGAATTGATAAGAAGTCCTGACTAGGCAGTTAGTGTGAGTATGATCAAGTGGTAGTAACGTGTCACGAATTCACATGGTAGTCCGGCAAAACCCTTAGTGACTGAAGTGAAATGAAAATCTGGTCAGTAGTCGAATCTCGTAGCTCAGTTGGTAGAACACTGGGCCAGAAACCCAATGGTTGCTGGTTCGAATCCGGCTGTGGTTCAAATTTTCATTTCATCTCCAACCATCACCCAGTATCAATACATAAATATAAAAACTATATATTCTATAGAAATCATAAATAATAAGAGTGAATACAATAATCAACTGATGACTGACTGACTAGTTGATAAAAAAGATGGCTACAAAGTAAACTTAAACTCCAAAAACAATAATTTTACGTCAAGACAGCGCATTACTCAATATGGAATGTTGACCAGAGTAAAAATGAGTTAGGAGAAGATTAACGGTAGCCATTATTCTATCAACTCACTGAGTGAACAGTATACGTAGGTTAAAGCTGCCTGACTGAGGAACTAGAGAAGACAGAAATCAATATTTGCAGAATTTTGATGGTATGGTGAAAATCGGTCACGGTGACACAAATATACGCGCACTATCACCTTCCAAGTTTTGAATAATTTCATTAGCCTTCATCCATTTGCTGTGCCATCTTACACACCTTCATCAACTTTACTATCACTTCTTCAACCTACTCCTCCTTTGCATGCTGATGTGAAATGGGGGAAATTTGAGCACACTTACTTTTGTGTCAGGTTCTACATTGATTTATCTACTGATCTGAATAAACTAAAGGTCCACTTTAATTGTTGTAAACTTAGGTTGAATATTTCGATCCGTATTTTTGAGTAAAACATTATCTAGTACCTAGGAACAGTTGATTTATACTTTACTTTCAGTCGTTTAAACTGATGTTACTACAAATGAATTCATAGGTCACGTTTTGGACTATCCCAGTTACACAGTTTATTTGCCCGATGATGCTAAGTGTTGCCTCATTATAAAAAATACTTCACTTTTCTTCAGTTATTGATAGCAGTATTTATGAAGGGAAACAAACAAAACTTTTATACAGTAAAAGAAGCTAAGAGACTAACTTTTATGCCTTGAGACTTGTTCAGGTGTTAATTACCAAAATAAAGATGTACATGAGTCTCTTCATTGCTTTTCTATTATCAGTTCGACTATCTGAAATAGATGTAGTTTGGCAGCCTTATTTTAATACTGGGTGATGACTGGAGGTGCAGTGAAAAGTTAGGCCACTAGAGGATTCGAACCAGTGGCCTCTCAGTCTCGTAGTCCAGTTGATAGGATACGGGGTCAGTAACCCACAGGTCACTCGTTAGAATCCTGAAACAATCGAGGTTTTCTTTCCATCTTCAGTCATCACCCTATAGCAACATTCCTGTTAGCAGTACATTCATTTTTGAGGTGTGGTGATGTTTAATGGTTGGTTATGATAGTATTAAATGTAAATAATAAGGGAAGTTCTGTTTGCCGCCTTGTTTTCGACAAGGTTCTTATGTTTTATCATCTCATCGAATAAAGCTCGATGTTCACAAAGTACGCATTCTTGGGGTAAGGATGAGAAGAATAGTGGAAACCCACTGGTTTCTGTTTTTAATTAAGATATCTAGACTACAGATTGTTACCTAGCTGATAGGGGAAAAAGAAGGAAAAGAAGAAGAAGCAGAATTACTACGCAATATCTACTACTGGTTGACGTGAGTGGTTGTAGACCACTCTTACCAATTATCATTGTATAAGGTGTCTGTTTATTCATATAACCCTGGTGTAGTATACTAGAACAAAAAATTCTGATTGGTTGTTCCTCATTTGGTATATTACTTGTCTATTGTTTTTATTCAAAGAAGTTGGGTTGAATAAACTAATTGTAATTTGTGCAGTGATAAATGTTTGATACTTTCCGACCTTTGGAATAAATTTGTTGCTGATGAAGCTGGTTGTCTTAGTAATACAACTTTCACGAACAAATAAAACACATCGGTTGGAATCAAGTAGTTTTTACCTTCATCCTTGGTAATCAACTTTCGAAGTTGCTTTGAATTGATACTGTTGTAATTGTTCTTAGTATGTTTCGTTTTGACTTGGTTATGAATCATTATCATTCTTCTGGTAATTTACTATCCTAGTATTTAGTTTGCGATTGTGTATTCAATACTACTTACAAGTAGTTTACTTAATAGTATGTTCTGTGAAGTGTTTGTATACTTGACGAAGGTGAAAAATTTGTGCTATTCGACAGCTGAATCTGAGGGCCATTACATAAAACTCCCTCTATCATTCATCGCAGAGATAAACACAAAATCTTTGGGAGAAATGATTTACGAGGACTTTACTACAAGTGACTTCGTCGCTCGTGTACTCGACGTAATTTTTTTCGGGATGAGATTAGTGACAACTACTCAGTTTTGTTTTATTCCCTTACAAGTCATATTGGATAAGAAGAAAGTCTTTTCTGATTTAGAGGATACAACGGAGGCGACTTACAGGAGCATTTGATTTTTCGGCGTATATGGGTTGTCGGTTAACTAATTCAGAGTTTTACCAGATATGTAAAACTCAAGTGTGTCACAAATATACAGTGAAGACTATAACACCCGTGAAAATCGAACCGAACAAATTTCTGCACTAAAGAAAATTCGTCATGACACAATTTACTAATTTTCTCAACGATTTGTCGGTCTATCATTCATTAATTAACAAATTTTAATATGAAAACAATTTCGACGTAAGTTCACCAAATTATAATTATCATAATAGGCAACGATAACTGAACATTTGTTTAGCGCTATTTTTAAGATTCTCATCGGTATAAACTGTCTAACACCTTCAAGGTCATCTCTCCTGGTACCAATCATAAGCGTACAATGATAATATTCAAGCTGAATAAATCCATGGATTATGGCATATCATCATAATCTTGACAAAATTGACCTTATCTTATCCAGATCAGGTCACTGAAGATTACTTGATAACCATACAAAACTGAGGTATTGTTTGAAAAAAATGATGATTGTGTGGTTGATGAAAAGAATTGCTGCTGAGTTTAACAAGTGAACAAAACAGGAGTTTAATTTAGTTTGACGTTTATAGAGATTTTATTGATTTCAAGGTTGTATACATTAATAACTGACAACAGTTGAAGTAACATTAAAAACCTAAGAGCACTGAACATCTGTTTCGTCCTAGCATGTAACTCCTCAAGGATACACACTAACGACCTTCAGGTCTCAGAAAGAATGTGTTAACCATTCAGCCACTTGATTAGAGTTCAGTGGTCTCAAGCTTCCAAATTGTGTCATTCTGCAATATAGCACGACTGTCCACTAGGGTCTTCAGTTGATATCTACTTCAATTCACACTGGTTGACCCTAAAAGTCATGGATTCTCATTAAAACTTCGAAATATTCATGTCGAAGGACTTCATTAATAATGACTATACAATGATGTATTTCGAGGTTAATGGAGATTTTTTAAAAATTATATCACCATATGACTAAGATCATGTCTTTATTAAGAAAGTGTTCAGAATTACCAACTAGAAACATATGATTAGCGCTTGACACATTTGATAAACTCATAGCCTTATGTTATTTGATTTACTACATCACTAATGAATTTTATCTTTATCATGAGTAATATTTTAAAATTTTCAGAATGGTGGACGTCCTGGTAGTCTTCATGGTATATCAATGACTGCACAAAGTCCTGTTCGTAATGATGTCAACTTAATGTGTACCAACTCTGGAATTGATGTACAACACATTCCTGGACCATATTGGAGTACACACAGTGTACAAAATGAATTAATTCAGCGATCAAATAATACATTATATCGACCTCATAGTCCATCTAATTTACTAATAAATCAATCAAACAAATTGTTTAGACAATCAGTTGAAAATATTTCATCCTCTTCATCACCACCAAATTCATTAACTAATTATCATACAAATCCATTGAATGATACAATTACAAATTATTCTACTGGATGTTTATTAAATTCAACATTGTCTAATGTAATTCCACCACCACTACCACCTCCACTGCAGCTAACAGCAGTTTCCTCGTTAACTGGAATCTCATCCTCTTCTACTTGTCCTATTGCTTCTGGTATATCCTCATCAATACAAACTTTTAATTATGGTCAATTGAATAATTTTTGTAATTCATCATCAAGTTTAATAACATCGAATGATACCTCATCAGCAAATTTATCACGATTTAGTGGTTTAATCATACCTTCAAATACTAACCCCAGTAATACTACTACTAATAATAATAATAGTAATAACAGTAGTACAAGTACGAATCAATCAAATTTTTTGAATGAACGTTCTGCACCACCATTTCAACAATTGGTAAGAATATTTTAAGTGAATTTTACAACAATAATACTTCCTTTAAATGAAGACTTTGTTTGTTACAGTAAAAGTCATCATGAAATTATTGGATCATATTTGTTTCCTCAATTATTCATTTGTAGTAAGTACACAAATACCCATGTACACGTATAAACACATCATATAATCGATTTGAAAAAGTTGACTAAATATCCTTGAGAATTGTGAATGTTTTGGTACAGAAATTGAAAAAACAACAACAACAACTTAGAAAATACTTTTATTGTTAAAAAGCATTTTAATTTTATCAATCTATATAACAAATTGCATATTTTAAAAATACTTATGTTTTTCTGATAATATATACTACTTACTCATGCAGCTGTATTCAGTAGTCGTTGGTTTCTTTTGTTGTGTCTAAAAGTATCTATTTACTGTAATATTTCTGAAATAAGGTTGAAAAATGAAAGCGTAAATGGTTGTGATAACAAGGATACATTTCATTGAATTGGTAAATTTATAATATTTCAAATGAGGAAAGATAGTTCCATATTAGATCAGTTTATTTAATTTATAATGCACAGTGTTTTATTATTATTATTGGTCCCTTGGGTTCCTAATGCAACATAGAGCTTCAGTAGCACGTCTCCATTACACTCTCTTCTCTCCAATCTTTCCAACCTGGCTCCACCACTGCCCACAACCTCTCATTTCCTCCTCGCACCATCTCCTCCATGTCACCCTCACCACGGACGCCCAAATCGTCACTTCCCATGAGGATTCCACTCAAGCGACTGGCCTGACGCGTGATGTCCCCAGTCGGCTTTCTCAGCGTATGCCCAATCCCACCCATCTCCACTTCCTTCCATTGCATATTTGTTGGGTGATAGGTTCTTGTTTAGTTCGTTCCCAGAGCTCCTTGTTGCTGATTCTCTCTGGCAATGCATCTGATCTTCAGTAGCGAGTCAGCGTATGTGGCACTTGTTGATGAATGTCTGTAGTTTATTGGAAATCCCTTTCGTAACGCGCCGGCAAGTCTCTCAACCACCACACAGAAGCACTGACTTGACTGGGTTGGTGTTGAAAATCCGTATCTTGTTCCACATGCTGAGTGCAGTGCAGAAGATCTCCACACTGGTTTCAGGTTAATGAACGCCTGTCTTGCTTTTCTGATTCTGACGTTGACATCCTCATCTGTGCCTGTGCCGCCTGTAGTTGAACAGTGCTTCCTAGATAGGTGAAGGAGGTTACTTCCTTTAAGTTTCTCCCGTTGATGGTGACTGGAGTATGTTGTTGTTGTTGGAGTTGTTGGTGCGGTATCTTCATCACCTCTGTCTTCTCTATATTCACCTGGAGTCCCGTCTTCGCTGCCCTGCCTCTTCTGCCAACTTGTTGATTTTCGCCTGTAGATCTTCAAGTTTGTGTGACATGAGGCACAAGTCATTGGTGGCGAAGTGCAGATCTTCTAGGTTCTTTTCCGCAGTCCAGCCATTGTATCCCTCTTTTCTCGCTCCCCACTGTTTGCACAGTGTGATACAGTATTATTTACTTGATGACGTTTTGAGTATAAATTAATATTGCTCATAATCATATCAGTGTAATCACAATACTTTCGATATCTGAATTTTATAGTCCTGTCAGTCACCTCATGTTCTTTGTTTATATTGATAATGAAGTTTTCCATATCTCTGGTATAGGTGTTGCCTCATTTCTATCACGTGTTGAGAGTTGATTCGATGAACAAAGATTCAGTAATCAATCTCTGTCTACACCTATTTGTATTGAACTTAAGTGCAATGGTTACATCCTACCCTATTGTGTGGCTTCGTGTTAATGCATGCATTAAAATAGCTGGGTTATCTCCTAGATTATTGATCTTATTCGGGTCTATCAATCTATATTTGACTAAATTCCTATGTTCCGCTGTTCTATCTGATCACAACCGGCTAGTTAAACCTATGTACTTGACTTTGCAGTCATTACATGGAATTTGATAGATTAGATTATTTTGCTTAATTGGTTCTGTAGGATGATACATTTACTGTGTTGAAACTGGAACATATCGACAATTTACTCACACATATATAAACTCAGTAGTAGGAGCGATCCAATTGGTTTACGAGGTAGAAAATGAACATGGCGTATTATCTACGTTGGATTGTGGGATAAAACGAAGAATGGACGGTGGTTTAGATAATACCGTCTACAGAAAATCGACACATTCTAACAGGTATCTAGACTTCAAGTTATCTCATTCAATGTCAGTGAAAGCAGGTTTAGTCAAATGGAAAACTCAGTGCATGGACTTAAAGAAGGAACTGAAGCACGAAAAAAAAGCGCTAGTAGTTAATAATTATCCTCCTCAGTTTATTAAGAAATTCATACGAACACGTTAAAAACGAAGTAATAACAGTAACATGAGTGCGAATAAAAGCGACAATACAAGTAGAAAGGAGTTCACAGCCTACATTGTGTTATCGTGTAAAGAAGCCACATCAGAAAATTTACGTAGGATTCTTAACATGGCTGGAATTAGGGTGGCATTAAAACCTACGAATTCACTCAGAGATAACCTTTGTCAGCTGAAGGGTCCGACAGAACCAATTAGGCAAAATAATTAAATCGATCAAATTCATATCATGTATCAAATCATATCACACTAATACGATTATGAGCAATAGTAACTTATACTCAAAACGTCATCAAGTAAACAATAGTGTAACACAATGTATGTTATGAATCAAATCAACAAATCTAAAATAGAATTAAATGGTACCATATAGCCCAAGTTTTACACTTATATTAAGGGAAAATAAAATGTCATTTAATAACAATTAAAATCAATTTTAGCTCCCCTGCTAAGGATTTTCACAATGTTTTTATTATTAAGATTTGATTGTTCCCCTAGAAAATAGAATTAAATGAATTTTATTTATTATTATTATTAGTCCCTTGGGTTCCTGGTGGAACATAGGGCTTCAGTAGCACGTCTCCATTTCATCCTGTTCTCTGAGATCTTTTGAACTGGTTCCACGACAGCCCACAACCTCTCATTTCCTCCTCGCACCATCTCCTCCATGTCACCCTCACCACGGACGCCCAACTCGTCACTTCCCATGGGGATTCCATTCAAGCGACTGGCCTGACGCGTGATGTCCCCAGTCGGCTTTCTCAGTGTATGCCCAATCCAATCCATCTCCACTTCCTTCTACATATTTGTTGGGTGATAGGTTCTTGTTTGGTTCGTTGCCAGAGCTCCTTGTTGCTTATCCTCTCTGGCAATGCATATTTTGTTTGCGCTTTGAAGTTTCTTTAGCGGTTGGATTGGTTTTACGGGGTAGGGTTGCTAGCCCTATGGCAACCTTCCCTCTTTACCCGGGCTTAGGACCGGCTAGTAACTAGTGAACTAGTTAACCAGGCGAGGTTAGAATTAAATGAAAGTGGCAATTAATTCAAGGAAATACTGATATATAGCCGCTAATTATATCATTGGTACACTTCAATAAACTGAAGACATAAAATATGGGGATGATTAGTTAGTTTTCTGAGGATGGTTGAATGAACAGAATCGTTAACATGCTTGTGGGCTATTATTATTTATTGACACTTGTAGTTTCCCGTTGCTATTCTGTATCGAACTGATGTATCTCTGTTGGCAGATAGGTTGTCTACGTGGATTCCTTGCCTGATTATTCATTATGCTGCAATTTGTTTGGTAGTGAATGGCAGTGGAATCTAAGACCTGTGTTTTCTCCTATTGGGGATTCATCAGCTGGATCCACCTGAATCACAGTGAGAGAGGTTTTCTCCATTGAGATTCGAACCAAGTGCTCATTGCTTCAAACACCAAAGGATTATACACTAAGCCACTGAGGTTGGATGTTTTACTCGAATCTCTATGCGGACAGCATCACTCATTGGGGTTCAGGTAGATCCAGCTAACGAGTCTTACATTAGACAAAACATGTATCCTGGATTTCATTGCTAGCCGCCGTCAAATAAATTACAATACGCGTACGCTGGTGAAAACATACTGTAGGCTAAAAAAACCCCCACTTTGCTAAAAATGTAGGTATCTGGGTTAAGCCTTTTAAAGATTTGATTAAAAACCACTCTTATGCTTTACGCCACCAGTGGCTAGTTGTCCAGCAGAAATTTTGCTAACTGAGTGAGAAACAGTTCAGTTTGTCAAGTTTCTTTTTTAGCTTGAACCAGGTAGTTCATCAATTATATGCGATTAATCTAAACTGAAGGAGGTGTTTATCAATCAGAATAATGAAAGCCTTTAAGAATTATTAAAACAGTCTATATCATTAACTGTTTTCCTTAAAGTTAACCGTACTTTGCTGGAGTGTAAATCTTCCTGCTGAAATGATACCTATAATTGCCCGTTGCCAAACAGGGCCGAATCGCTCGACCGTTGTTAGCAGATGGCCTCCTATGAGGATGCCTTGATACTGCCGGGTATTCATGGTGTTACATTGGTCGTGGTGACTAGCAGAGGAATCCAGGATGCGCGTTTCTTCCTACTTGGGACTCGTCAGCTGGATGCACTTGCATCCTAGTGAGTGACGTTGTTCCTACCAAAGCTCGAATTCAGTACCCTTCACTTCAAATGCCAGAGAGTTATCCATTCAAACAATGGGGCATGGTAGCCACATTTTGTACAATGGCTGTCAAGGCATCTGCATAAAAACCATCTGCCAACAGAGGTTGGGGGATTTGGTCCTGTATAGCAACGCAAAATTATAAGTATCATTACAACAACTGATGTTCATTACAAAACAGGTGACTGTCTTGCCCCAGTGGCTTGGTGGGTAACGTTCTGGAGTTTGAAGTGAAGGGTACTGGGTTCGACCCCCGATAAGGACAACATGACTCACTGGGGTGCAGGTACATCCAGCCAACGAGTTCCAAGTAGGGCAGAAAGCGCATCCTGGATTCCTCTGCTAGTCAACATGACCAGTCTCCCTGCTGAAGTTTTCTAGAAATTGCTTTCATTATGAACTATAGAAAGA